GCGCATGGCAGCCGTAAAAAAAACCCCAAGAGTAGAGCGTCTAAGGACTTTAGGAGGGACCCCTAATAGGGACCCGTAATCCCATTACCTTAAAGAGCCATTGTATAGTCCAAAAGGTCCCTACTAAGGGTCCCTCCTAGAGCCCTTAGAGAGCAGGTAGTGGCCTGCACCCTCACCGAGACCTCGCACGCTGCACTGCGCTGCTTGGCAACTTCGGGCTTTCTCGCGGAGGGTTTAGGGTTTAGGGTTGTTCAACGAAGCCCTTAACGCGAAGCCCTCAGGATTTAGACCCGAAGGAGGGAACCACGAGTAGAATGAACTTGTGTGTGCCGTGCTACTCTTCCAGGTCAATGTGCTACCACTTGGCTAGGACTGCAGAAACAGTAGTAGATAGGCAATCAACACGAGCATGAGATCGGATTGTCTGTTTAATCTGATGATGGCTCCAGAATCCATTTAGTACGAGTCTGCCTGCGTGATGTTGATTCCTAGGTTTTTGCCCTTACCGGAGTTCCTCTGAGCCCCGAACGTCATGTCATGATCCTCGAGATCATCCAAAAACCGTCAACATCTCAAAGCAAAAATCTTAAACTCTATACGCACCCTAAATCCGAAAACCTAAACGCTTTCAGCTCTGAAGCAGGGATTCTTTTCGTGAGATCCCTCGATTGGCCACGGGCTCAGGCGAAGAGGGTCTTACACCGACCACGGCTGCTGCGCTGGCGGCCACAGAGGTTGCTCGAGGGTGGGATGCTCCTTGCAAAAACTCCTCTGAGGGCTTCTATAAGTAGGGGGTGTCTTTTGCTTTTTAAAAGCTTAGGGGTAAGGACTGTGTTTTGCTTGTTTGAGGATCTCTACTTGAGGTTTGTTTGGTGTTTCGGGCTCTTTGAGCCTGCCAAGTCCAATCTTGGAGCCTTGCAAAGTCCTCGGACACGAAGATCCGAAGCCGCGAGCAGTTTGCTTGGCGCCCTGAAGCCCGAAAGCCCAAGCCGCGAAGTCTGTCGGTTTGTGCCTTTCTTGATCCTTCACCGAAAACATGTCAATGTTAGTTTCAACTTCGGAGCCAGGCAGAGGCTGATAACCTTGCAACAGAGAAGAAGCATGCACGGATGCGTAGCTACCGTTGCTTCACAGTTCTAGTGTCAAGGAATATACTGCATATGCCACCAGTCTAGCCGCCTAGCATTTGAGGGTGCTCATGGTACTGCAGGTTTTTCTCCATCAGCTGTAGAGATCTGGATGTAGGTTTCGTCTTGGCCCTTTGTCGCTCTCTGCCATGGAAGAACAGTCAATTCAGGACGTTTCTTTCGCATTGTGGTCAGTGTACTACTTTCAGTATCAGCAACTGCAGCGACGACATCTGCATGTCAAGTACGTACCTGGTTTTGCTGTAACTTCTTGCTTCAAGTAGGCTGCAACAGTCTTGTCAGACGCAGCATCTTTCAACTAAGTTTTCACATGCAGCTACCAGCCAGCAAGCTCCGCGTCGCTGCAGGAACAGTTCCCTTACGCGCCTTGGCGGCTGCATGGGTTGGAGGGGGTCGCGCGGTTAAGGTTCAGGGTTTAGGGTGATTGTTTCTCACTTCAATGCCGTTGTGCTGTCCCGATTCTTGAGGACCGTCGACCGGTGCTGCCAGTGTAGTTCGCCCCCTAAACCCTCACCCCTAGCCCCTGAACCCCAGCCACATTGGATCCCATTGTGCAGCCAGCAGCAGCACTCCGGGAGACTACGACTACGTCGAATGTGACCCCGGCCCCAACTTAATATTCTGCCAGTAGTTTGGCAAATCCGACAACCGTCAGCCCTTGAGTCGACGTCTTTCAATCCAATTCCTAGGCCCGAAACTGTTGAAACACACCCTTAAAGCCTGAATCCTACACAAACGAAAGAAGCTCACTCTCTCTCTCTCTCTCTCCTCCCTCTCTCTCTCTCTCTATTTCTCTCTCTCTCTCTCTCTCTCTCTCTATCTCTCTCTCGAAGCCCTTGTAGACCGCCCCTCCGCGAGCGCTGAGGTCCTCTTCTCCGCGCCGCCGGGCCGGCCTGGGCCCTGGAGACGAGACGATTGAAGTCAAGTTTGAGATGAGGGCTCCATCAGGGTTTAGGGTTTATTTAAGTTTGAGATGAGGGCTCTGTAAGACTTCCTGAAAGTCTGCAACTTATAAGGCTTCTATGGCATATGGTAAGGGCTGGTTCTATGAGGGTTTTTGACGATCCACTAAGCCTTTACAGGTTTTATGAGGGTTTCATACGTGTTGAAGAAGGAGGTCCTTTGAATTTTTGACAGAGTTAGGGTGTAAGGTGTGGGGTGTAGGGCCTTCTGTAATAGGGTTTTGCGAGGGCTCGAATGTAGGGGCTTTTTAGTACTTTCAAGAGGGTTCTTTTAAAGGGTTCCTATAAGGGTTGCTATAAGGGATGATGGGGGGTTTAGGTGCAGAGTCTTGGTTCTGGGTTTAGGGCTTTCGCCTATTCCTGAAACAAGGGCTCCTGTGCTCTTTGGGCAACCCTTAAACCCCCTAGACCATCCCAGACGCTGAACCTTAGGCCCGAAAGCCTAAACCCCATAAATCCAGAGTCCTAAACCCTAAACCACACGAAACTCTAATCCTAAACCCCATAGATCCTAAATCCTAACTCTAATCCTAAACCCGAAACCAGGTCTGGGGGAGCGGAGGAGTATGCGGCAGCAGTGGCGGAGGCTCGCGATGTGGTTTGGTGTTCGTTTGATGCAGGATTTATATTATAACATAGGGGCCTTAAGAATTACCTATACTGTTTAGGGGTTCCTTATTATAATATATAGCATACAACATCCCCAATCCCCATTCTAATTATTAAGGCTCCTACATTAGGGTCTTGGGGTGGGTGTCTGTGTTCAGCGTTTAGGGCTCAGGGGTGTAAAGGATGTCGGTTCGTCATGGCTTGGAGAGCTGTTTTGTCGAGAGGGGGAGGCGGAGGGGTTGCAAGGCCCTAAACCCTAAACCCTAAACCCTAAACCCTAAACCCTAAACCGTCTGATAACGGGTTCTTGTCTGTAGAAAAGCTTGAAACAAGTTCCGGCCCGGCACTGAGCCGTGGTGCCGAAGCCGGCATGCAGGAACCTACAGTCTACGGGTCGCAACCTACCATTATTAAGGGGTGACAAAATTTTCAAGGACTCACGTAAAGATTTCGTGGAGTTCAGGCGCAGGTTGCACTCAGAGTTGCGAGGCTCTGAACCCATGGGCCGCAAAACCCGACGCCGTAGGCTGAAGCCTCTGAAGCCTCAACCCTCAACACCCCCTAGACCCATCCTAATCTTTTGGTGAGTTCGTCCGGATGCCGCATGGAGATGAGAAAGGTGCCTAAACAGAAAAAATCAAAATCCCCAAAGCTTACACTCGGTCCCCGAAGCGCAAACCTGTACCGTCCACTCTGACCCTAAGCCCCGAATCCATGAAAGCTTCGAGAGACCCCCATAGACCCTGTACAACGACCCTAAACCCAAAACTTTTAAACCATAGAACCTAAACCTTAAGCTTCTAAACCCTAAAGCCCAAACCCTAAACTTTTGAACGCTAAACCCTATGAAGCCCTTAGCCGCAGGCTTTCCGGCACTGGAGCGGGCAGGGAGGGGTCTTTACCTCCTCAGCGGGCGTCTTCGCCGAGGACTTTCATTTGGGCTTGGGGTCTGTGCGGGAGTTCCTGCACGGCTCCAGGTTTCGGATTTTGGGGCTTAGGGTTATAGGGCTTAGGGCCTAGGGTCATTATAGGGTTTAGGGTTATATGGTTTAGGGTATAGGGTTTAGGGTCTGGGGTTATTGGGCTCCAGGTTTCGGGTTCAGGGATTTCGGAGGGTTCAGGGTGCCGGGATTTTTGAGATTTTGGGCGTTTACGGTTTCGGGCTTTCTGAGTATTCGGGTTTCAATAGGACTTGGGCTTCCGAGCGGGTTTTATGAAGGGCTTACCTCCGTAAAAGGGTCCAAATGAACTAATGGGGCCTAAAACCCTAAACCCTATACCCCGGATTCTAGCTTTAAGATTTAGGTTTGGGGGGATTTGTGGCGTTGGGGTTTCTGGGCAGACGGGTGGGGGTTGGGGATTTGGTGCCTTACAACGGTTTACGGTTTAGGGTTTTATTTTGGGGTCCTTATAATACGGATCCTACTATTTTAGTAGGTACTATATGAGTATGCTTCACCAGCGGACCCAGCTCAGAGCAGGATGCAGGCGGCCGCGTAGACGAGGCCACAGCAGTTCTGCTTGTGGGAACGGTTTCGAGCTGCACAGCGGTTGATTGAGTGTTTGAGGTAGCCGATTGCATGCACCTTTTTGTTGTTGCAGTTGTATGGCTAGCAAGAGCAGTCTGGCTGTAGTTGCAGTGTGAAAGGCATCTTTTAACCCTCCTCACTTAGCCCATCCCGATGATACCCGGCGGCAAAGCCTAGCGCCCCAGACTTTAGCCGGAAAGCCTTGGAATCTGAAAGGCTTCGCCGGTGGCATCCACTGCCTCCGCCTCGCGGCTGCTGGCTGCCGAGGCCACTTTCGCAAGTACGGTTCTTGGTGCTTAGTAGTAAGTGATCCTTAATCTTTTTTGGAGTACTCTCGGTGGCCTATTGATTCATAAACACCGCCCCCTGCCCCCGTCAGAGGTCTACTCCAACCTTGTGGTAATACTACACTTGTAGTATACTACGCCCCAACAGCTTATTCTTATTACCAAGGACCTTTAGCTCTCAACGTTAGCCCCGTGAGCCCTTTACTGTCTAAACCACAGGCGGCCGCCAGCAAGGCTGGTGCCGCAGTCCTCAGGCCTGACGCGATGTAAGGAATATTCCTTGCGCTTTAGGATCTGGTGCTCAGGGTAGTCTCGGCTTTAAAGTGGAGATTTAGGGCTTAAGGGGCTGTAGGGTTTCGGGTTCAGGGCTGGGGTGTAGGGTGCAAAAGGTTCGGATTGGGGCTGGACAGACAGAGAGAGAGAGAGAGAGAGACAGACAGACAGAGACAGACAGAGAGCGAGACAGAGACAGAGACAGACAGAGACAGAGA